ATAGATATACAGGTTATCATATAAAGGATGAGGTGATATCAGTTTTATCGCTCGAGGGATGATATCCGTCGTGATATCTATCGTCCCGAGAGCGATAAAACTGATATCACCGAATCCCGAGTACGATAACCTATTTATTATATACTTGTACCTTTATCAGGGTTTGACACCCAAAGTAAACAGTTTTGATTTTTGAAAAAATAGGATCATTTTAGAATTCAAAACAATTCATCATTTACTGAACAAATATGATTTTAGAAAATAAATAGACCATTCATATAAATAATATACAATTTAAGTCTTTCATTTTGTATTATCGTTCTTGTTTTCTTCGATAAATTGTCGACATCAAGTCATCAACGAACACGAACCTCGAGTCGGCCATCTTTGTTTTGACAAGGCGCGAAATTTAGCGGGACAAAAAACGAAATCCGGGACAAAAAACGATATCCGGGACAAAAAACGATATCCGGGACGATATCGTTTTTATGTCCCGCTGCTTCCTACCTGATAAAGGTACAAGTATGTGATAAAGAGATTTATTCGTACGAGATGTCAATATGTCATTTCAAATCAAATTGCGCGGACTTGAAATCTAGTCCAGGAGCCGGTTGTTCAAAGCTAGGTTAGCTTAACCCTAGGTTAACCTAAAATTCAAAGCAAATTTCCTGACAGCTTGTCCGTATAAATTTGGAAATATTTCTGCAGAGATCTTGTCTGGATCGATAGGAGTTTATACTTCTCTGAAGTTTTGAAATAAACCGCAGACGTGCAGAAATACTCAAACTAAAACAACAGGTTAAATTTTATTCCAGGGTTTGCGCTAACCCACCTTTGAACAACCGGCCCCTGTCCTCTTACAGTGGCATAGCCAAGGGGAGCATGACTGCCCTTGTGAAAAGCTGAAATCAGAGCAGAAATTGAGGGTCGGGGTGGGTGTGGGGGTGGGGGCGGGGGTGGGAGTGGGGGTGGGGGTGGTGGTAGGTGGAGGTACTGTTCTGTTTACCAATAAAGGTTGTAGTCTTCCCCATCTACAATCCTAACTCTTGGAGGCTGCTCCATTTATGTTCTAGAACATTTGGAACACTGTCCTGGAACGATATGAAATGGAGTGCACACAGTGTTCTGGAACAGTGTTTAGTTTATTACATATGCGTGTAACCATGCATTACTCGATATATTATATATCACATAATAAATCGTATAATGATTTGCTGTTATTTGTATATCTAAGTGTGCTTTTGCAACGAATTTACCCAACCCTAGCGTTCAAATAGCATATAATTAGAGTATGTCGATGTAATGCGGTTAACACTTCAAAATAACGCTCTATGCAGTGTGCATTGGATAAACACAATCTGTCACTTCCATTTCCAATCACGTGAAAATGGGCAGTGTGACGTGTTCTGTTCTGGCTGCCCCTACTCGAAAATCGGGGTAGTCAGAACAGTTCAGAACAGTAAAATATCCAAATGGCCATTCCGCCACGGATCACTGATTAAGCATTGGGGAAAAGGAAGGTCCATTGTTTCCAAATGAAACACGGAAATGGATCCGCAGCAGAAAGCCACAAGGATGGGAAACAGAAGGGTGGGAGGGTGGGCGTTTTTACAACACACAAGAGTAAACAACACCCTGACGCAGCCCCCTCCTTCTCGCCCCCCCCCGCCCCCTTTTCCGGTCCTAATTTCTTTATCTTGCACTTTCTCTGTCTTGGCGATCAGCACAGAAAGAGCAGTTACAACCTGTAAACTAGGGTTTTATGCATTGTACATCATTATTTATTCATAAAACAACGTTAATTACTCAAATTCCATTAGTTAATCAGCTTCCGCGGCGTGTTTGGCCAATTTGAATAGTAAAATATCCAAATGGCCATTCCGCCACGGATCACTGATTAAGAATTGGGGAAAAGGAAGGTCCATTGTTTCCAAATGAAGCACGGAAATGAATTCCTCCGCAGTTCAGTTACTACTCGCTCCCAACACTGCATCTCCCCCCATATACCCAAACCCCCATTCTCATATATCCAAAGCCCCATTCTCATATACCAAACCCCCATTCTCATATACCCAAACTCCCATTCTTATATACCCAAGCCGCCCTTCTCATATACCAAACCCCCCTGCTCAAATACCCTACAACCCCGCCGATTCGCATGTGCCACACATACAAACCAAACTATAATCTATTAAGCAAACAAACCGGCAATGGACAGTATGAAAAAAAATGCAAGTGAAAAGCGATAGGTGGACTAGCATGGTCAAGCGACAATGAACGCAGAGAATAACCCGGAACTGATGCCACAGGTCTGGTCCCCGGGAGAATCTTCCACCCAATGACTCGCTTCTTAAGACGCTCAGAAGCTGCTAACGGAACAAAGTTTAGCGAGTGGCGAGAGAAAAGATGAACAAAGAAGTAAATCCCCAAAGCACCCCCCGGAAGGACCAGAAAGGGCAACAGTCCCGGCACAACTGCTAGAGTCGAACACAAAGAGCTTTAGATAGCCCTGGGAAAGTTGACCCCCACCAGCCAAGAAAAGAAAAAAGAACCCAAGAAATGCAAACGAAAACCAGCGAACGAGCGCAAACACAAGATCAGTAATTTCATACACACTCGAAAAACATATATTGCCCAAGAATTGGGTGATTCGCGTATGGCAAGGAAGGTATACTGTTCTGAATCGCCAAAACATTGGCCCTTGTCTGTCCAATCCAAATGCAGTAAGCGCGTGCGCTCGGTCTCAAGCAATCATGTATTGCGAGATGCACCTCTTGCATTTGCAATGTTCGTGCTCAATCCCAAGCAATCATGGATTGGGTCTATTGGGAGATGCATTGCTCTGCTTGCCCAAACATATGAGCAACTGACCACTAAACAAATTCCGTAACTGCGAGACGCCGCTCCCGCGCATGCACTAAACTCATTGACAAATGATTTCCAAATTCCAATTCAATGGCTGCCATGGTTCGTCCCAAGCAATCATGTATTGTAAAATGCAAGCCTCTCATTCGCGAAACCCTGAACCTGTTTTTTCCAATCCTAAGTCAGTAGCGACTCTTACTCGGTCACAAGCAATCATACAATTGCGAGATGCCCTTCGCCCATACGCCAAACTCATTGGCCACTTTGCCTTAAAGCCAAATTCAGTAGCTACTCGTGCTCGGTAACAAGCAATCATACAAGTGCGAGATGCACTTTTCGTATACGCCAAACACATTATCATTGGCCACATTGCCTTAAATCCAAATGCACTGAGCTAAACATGCTGGGTTTGAAGCACACCTGCATTGGAAGATGCACATTGCTGATACGCCAAACACATTGGTCACGGTACCTTAAAACCGAATTCAGTAACGAATCGTGCTCGGTCGCAAGTATAATCATGCATTGCGAAATGCACCGCTCTCATACGCCAAACAAATTGGCAACTTTGTTTTAAAATCCAAATTCAGTAGCTACTCGTGCTCGGTCTCCAGCACTCATGCAATTGCGAGATGCACTGCTCTTACAAACCAAACACATTGACCACTATACCTTAAATCCAAATGCAGTAGCTAATCGTGCTCGGTCACTCAAGCAATCATGTATTGTTAGATGCAAGCATTGCCTACGCGAAACACATGAGCCTTTCCTTTGAATCCCAAGTCAATAACTACTCAAGCTCGGTCACAAGCAATCATACAAGTGCGAGATGCACTTCTCTTATACGCCAAACACATTGGCCACGTTGCCTTAAATCCAAATTCATTGAGCTAATCGTGCTCGGTTTGAAGCAAAGATGCATTGCAAGATGCACATTGCTCATACGCCAAACACATTGGCCACTGTGCCTTAAATCCAGATTCAGTAGCTAGTCGTGCTCGGTCGCAAGCAATCATGCATTGCGAGATGCACCTCTCTCATACGCCAACCACATTGGCAAAGTTGTTTTAGACTCCAAATTCAGTAGTTACTCGTGCTCGGTCGCAAGCAATCATGCATTGCGAGATGCACCTCTCTCATACGCCAAACACATTGGCAACTTTGTTTAAAATCCAAATTTAATAGCTACTCGTGCTCGGTCTCAAGCAATCATGTAATTACGACATGCACCTCGCTCATACGCCAAAACATATTAGCAACTTTGTTTAAAATCCAAATTCAGTAGCTACTCGTTTTCGGTCTCTAGCAAGCGTGCAATTGTGAGATGAACTTCTCGTATACGCCAAACACACTGGCAACGTTGTTTAAAATCCAAAGTCAGTAGCTTTTCGTGCTCGGTCTCAAGCAATCATGCATTGCTACATGCACGTCTCTCAGACGCCAAACTCATTGGCCACTGTGCCTTAAATCGAAATGCAATAGCTACTCGTGCTCGGTCACAAGCAATCATACAATTGCGCGATGCACTGCTCTGATACGCCAAACACATCACTCACTTTGCCGTAAATCCAAATTCACTGAGCTAATCGTGCTGGGTTTCAAGCAAACATGCTTTGGAAGATGCACATTGCTCATGCGCCAAACACATTGAGCACTGTGCCTTAAATCCAAATGCAGTAACTAATCTTGTTCGGTCGCAAGCAATCATGCATTGCGAAATGCACCTCTTTCATACGTCAAACACATTGGCAAAGTTGTTCTAAAATTCAAATTCAGTAGCTCCTCGTGCTCGGTCTCAAGCAATCTAACATTGCGAGATGCACTTCTCTCATACGCCAAACACATTGGCAACTTGGTTTAAAATCCAAATTCAGTAGCTCCTCGTGCTCGGTCTCAAGCAATCTAGCATTGCGTGATGCACGTCTCTCATACGCCAAACCCATTGGCAACTTTGTTTAAAATCCAAATTCAGTAACTACTCGTGCTAGGTCTCAAACAATCTAGCATTGCGAAATACACGTCTCTCGTACGGCAAACACATTGACAACTTTGTTTAAAATCCAAGTCGGTATGTACCCGTTCGCGGTCTCAAGCAACCATGCATTGCGAGATGCACCCCTCTCATACGCCATACCCCTCTCATACGCCGTTCTAAACAACCTTGTTTAAAATCCAAATTCAGTTGCGATATACCCGTGCTCGGTCTCAAGAAATTATACACTTGCGAGATGCACTTCTCTTACACGCCAGACACATTGGCAACGTTGGTTACTGAAATCCAAATTAAGTAGCGACTGGGGCTCGGTCGCAAGCAATCATGCAATTGCGAGAGAAACTTCTCTCATACGCCAAACCCATTGGCAACTGCTAAATCCATAGTAAGATTTGTGCTCGGTCGCAAGCAAGAAATTATGTATTGCGAGATGCCCTTCGGTCATACGGCAAACACAGTGGTCCTCTTTCGCCCAAGCAAATGCAATAAACTACGGAAGCTCGGAATGAAGCAATCATGCAGTGCAATTCGCTCCCGTTCCATACCATACGAAAGAACAATACCCAATTACCATTTTATTAAAGGCGAAAGTAATCACTATAGCCTAGCTATTTTGCTTTTCAACAATTTAATCTTGCGAAATACACGACCCGCTCGCGTAGAACATTAACAAAATTAACAATAGAGAGGTTAAGATACCCCGATTCCGGTTTACGGTACGGGTGATATACACGTACCCGTACCCGTAAATCGGGGAATAACTTGTAACTTAAGAAATCCAAGATACTCCGGCGTGAGAAAACCAATCAGAGAATGGCAACTTTCGCTGTTGAGGTTCGCCATAAATTGTTAAAAGCTTTGACCAATATATGTGCATTATTTATTTGGGTAAGATGTTGACAATTTGTACTATTTAAAAGGCCCAAAAATAGGAAACAGGAAACACCCGTACCCGTTTGTCGTTTACGTGTAGACCACGGTTTACCGCGGGGAAACGGGTAGAAATTACGGGTAAAATTGCTGACATCAGCAAAAACTGGAAAACAAAATGGCGATACTCGTACCCGTAAACCGGAACCGGGGTATCTTAACCTCTCAAATGCTAAATAAAACCAGACGGGAATCATTCATGCGTCGCAATCTCAACGGAACTAAAATAACCGAAAGCGAACTTGACGGTAAATAACCCCGCACAAGGACGGAAATACACATCAAATGAAGATATAATGTATAACATACAACAGAACTGTAACTAAAACCACAAGTGTAAGCGATCTTTAAACACACACAGAAAAGAGGCGGCCGTATTTTCCGATCAGCCGCCCACGAGTGAATCATGCATGCATGCGTTATACAACGAAAAATAACTTCGCCACACCGATCATATACTGCTAACAAAGCGATATAACTACCCAAAGGGCAAAAATCTTAACTAGACCCGCAAAAAAAAAACACGCGACAATACAGACAAATACCAATATGAATAAAAGAATCGCGCCCAAGTCCAAGTTTGATGCCTGAAGCTGTTCATTTTCAATTGGATCATTCACCGGCGAAACTGGTTCATTCTGAGGCGGAGCGAATCAAGATCAATCGGTTAGGCAACAGCATTAAGTCGCAAGTACCGCTTCTTGTAACGTGCAAGGAGGGCGAACAGGCGTGGAGCCATACTGTAAAGTCCGTAAATTTCTTTATCTTGCACTTCTCTGTCTTGGCGATCAGCACAGAAAGAGCAGTTACAACCTGTAAACTAAGGTTTTGTGCATTGTACATCATTATTTATTCATAAAACAACGTTAATTACTCAAATGCCATTAGTTAATCAGCTTCCGCGGCGTGTTTGGCCAATTTGAATAGTCATGTGACTGTCTTCTGTTCCATTCCATTAGTGTTCGTAAAATCCGGAGTACTCCGAACAGTAAATGGAGCAACTTGCAGTAAAAAAATGCCTGTGGTGGTTGAAAGCACGTTCGAACTTGAATTTACGCGCACCGGCAGCAGTCAAAGTTCAAAGTTCATTCTTTTTATTACAATATAATTTACTCTTCAAAAACGATGACATGTTGCTATTTTGCGGTTGTATTCGTGTGTACAGTACAATGTTTTACAAAAATATTTTTTTTCGATCTAACAACATTAGGCGACATAAAAATGGCTTTTTATGGTTGTAACTTTTCTTCAAACCTCGTCCGAAAGTACGTGAAATAGCGCTGTAATGAATTAAAAAAATTCAAAATATTCCCGGGGAACATGCCCCCGACTCCCATAGATTGCTTGCTCCTTTGGCGCTTGCGTTCCGCCGAATTCCGTAAAAATGTTTGCTCCCCCACCCTCCAAAAGTTTAGACCCTGGCTACTCCACTGTCCTCGTAGTCGGATTTGAAATATTACATCTGACTCTATAATTAAGTCTCTCTCTGTAGCACTTGATCCAACGTATTCCCAATATAACCTTGATTTTAACACTAAATCTAACACTATAATCTTAGTATAATCTTATTCATGGGCGTACCGGAAGGAAAAATTAGGGGGGCGGAAAGAAATTTGCCCGACTTTTCAGCATTGTGCCCGAGTAGAACCGAAAAATTTTTTTCCGGAAAAATTATATTGGCGACTCCCCCCCCGTCGCCAAAAAAATTTCGGTCAGTGTACCATTTTAGGGGTAAAAAAATTTTCTGGACATAACAACATTTTTCGAAACATCACACAAATTTTCCAAACAACGCAAAATTCACCACAAAATTTACTGAATTTCCGACAAAATTGACAGAATTTGTCCCCTTTTTTTTATAATAAACCAAAATTGCCCGACTGTTGATTGAATATTGCCCGACTGCCCAACAAACTGGGGGGGGGGATACCTCCCCCCCCCCGCCGGGCACGCCTATGATCTTATTGCTCATCCTATAACGTTACTGAACATTTTAATTTCACACTTTTTTCAAAATAATACGATAACATACGAGTATTGAAAAAATCGAATTCGTCTGAGGATGGAATATACTAAAAGTGTGCAGAGGCCGGAGAAGCGAACAAACAAACTTTAGTTTTATCCATTGCCAAATAGTAACGTAAAATTTTAATTTACTTGTTCTATTAATTGTGACATCAGATAAGAGAGATAAGAGATAATTTATATTTGCCATAGATATCAGTTATATACAAGTTATTTTATGATAATAATATAGTTAATTTTAAATAATCAATATGTATACACCATAAAGTAGATATCGGTGGCAAGGAGGCATCCGGAAACCATAGGGCTTGTAAATAGGATGTCTCCTTGGAGCAGTAGTAACAGAAAATATAGATCAGAAAAATGATTAGTTAGGTGAGATCAAGAAAAACGTAATTAGGCATCTAGCAATTAAGTATTTCAAAATTCTATTCCTGAAGCAATTGATAGTTTGTGCACTTTTGACGGACTCTGGGAGAGAATTCTACAATTTGGGTCCTTGAAATAGGATGGTGAACTGCATTACATTTGTTCTACATGCATGAGCTCGGTAGGAACTCGCATTTCTGGTGTTGTAATCATGGATTTCATTGTTGGTAATAAACAGATTGAGAAAAGGTGGTAATAGCTGGTTGTGGTAAGAAAACATGAATTTACCAATATGGAAGGAATTAAGCTTATATATATTGAGTATTTTTAATTTACTAAATAGTGGAGCAGTATGCGCCCGGTAATTAGAATTGGTCAGTACTCTAACAATTCGTTTCTGTAATAGAAATATGCGGCTTAAATTGGAAACATAGGTGGAGGACCAAGCAGTGTTACAATAGGTAAGGTATGGGTAGATTAACGTGTAGTACAATGACAATTTAGTACTAGCTAACAAGTAAAAACGAGCTCGATAAATTATGCCGATAGACTTAGAAATCTTTTTACAGACATGACTAATGTGAGGTTTCCAGGTGAGATTCTCATCCAGAAAAACCCCCAGAAACTTAACCTTAACGAGTAATACATTTGTCATCGAAAGAGAGAGATATATCAGAAGAGACTTTCTTATGCCTGGAATGGAAAATAACATAGTCTGTTTTGTCAATATTAACAGAGAGTTTATTTGCTCTCATCCAAGAACCGATGCTTTGTAATGCTTCGTTTAACACTGCAGCTAGAAGCACAGAGTCAGAGTGAGAGTAACGGATGCTGGTATCATCCGCAAATAGCAAAGGTTCAACTATACGGGATGCATTCGGAAGGTCATTTATATATTAAATAAAAAGGAGAGGGCCTAAAATTGAACCTTGAGGCACACCACATTGGGTAATTAACTGACTAGAAGTAACGCTGTTGTACTGAACAAATTGTTTACGGTTGTGAAAATAACTTTTGATCCAATTTAGCGCGACTCCGCGTATGCCATATTTTTCGAGCTTGGAAAAAAGTATACCATGAATTAGTGTGTCAAACGCTTTCGACAAGTCTAGAAATACACCAATAGAAATTTTGTTTTGATCGATTCCAGTTGCTATTTTATTTACTAAATGTGTGAGGGCATGATTAGTTGAATGTTTGGTACGAAAACCAAACTGAAAAGAATACAAAATTTCAAATTTTTCTATAAAATTAAGCAAACGATTATACATAACCTTTTCATAAATTTTAGAGAAACTTGACAAGATCGAGATAGGTCTGTAGTTCGTAAATATATCTACATCACCAGCTTTAAAAAGAGGAATTACTTTTGCCGTTTTAAGGTTATTTGGAAATATCCCTTTTTCAAGGGATATATTAATTACACGCATTAATGGTTTCGAAATAATATCAAACGAACTTTTTACAAGATGCATAGGTATATGATCATAACCAGGTGCTTTTCCACCTTTAAATGACATAGAGATAATTTTTAGCTCATGTTCAGTAGTAGGTTTAAGGAATATTGTATCACTCATATTTGGTCCAAGGAAATCTCGAAATACACAATTTGTTGGGAGAATCCTGCTTGCCAAGGATGAGCCAATGTTTGTAAAATATTTACAAAATCCATTTGCAATTTCAAGAGGGTCAGTGATCACTGTACCATTTGATTTAAATGACGATGGTAAAGATGACTTCTTGCTTTTAGTATTTATAACCTCGTTTATTAATTTCCAAGTTTCCTTCAAGTCACTTTTTGCTCGATCAAATTTGTTATCATAATAAGTTTTCTTAGCATTTCTAATTAGATGATTTAATTTGTTTTTATACCTTTTGTAATGAAGCTCACGTTGTAAAGTTGGATTACCCAAGTATTTCTTATAGAGTTTATTCTTTTTTCTAACGGAAACCAATAAACCTTTAGTAATCCAGGGCGTTTTCGGCTTTCTGGAAGAGTGTTTACTTATTTTTAAGGGAAAGCAATCCTCAAAATGCTTATTGCATTCTGTCGAGAAAGAGTCAAATAGTTTATTAGGATCTTGACCCACAACAACCTGGTCCAATCCACTAGTGACAAACTAGTTCGAAATTTGATTAGATTTTGTTCGCTATAGTCTCTATAGGATTTAACGTCTTTTTTATGTGGTACTAATTCAGAACTAAAAAAAGCAAATATAGGTAAATGATCCGACATATCATTAAGAATAATTCCATTCACCGTGTTTTGTGAAGGACAATTTGTGAATATATTATCAATCAGTGTAGCCGAGTGTGAAGTTAATCGCGTAGGTTTATTTATAAGAGGAATAAACATGTAGGAGAACAAAGAAACCATGAATTCTACAGTAGAGTGAAAGCATGCTAATCATAATGGAATAAATCCAAATTGAAATCGCCCATAATATAGCATTGTTTGTTATCTTTGGAAATGAAGGAAAGAATTTTGTTGAATTCCTCCATAAAGTGAGTTAAATTTTGATTAGGCGAACGGTATACAGGCTGTCCCCAAAAAACCGAAAACTATTGAAATCACCAATAACAATTTAATTGTTAGAATGTGAATGCCTTAGCGCTCTGTTGGTTCCCACGATTGCATAAATGATTGACATAAGTAAATTTTATGCATAAAGAAACTGTTTAAGAAGCTGTTTTTAATTCCCAGGAGCAGAAAATCGCGCACTTTACCAGGAGATATTCCAAACTAAATTCTAATGCATGCAACTTGTCAATATTTTACGCACCATTACGTCCAGCTGTTTGATAGGGCATTCAAATTTAACAATAAGTGATTTCAATAGTTTTCTTTTTTTTGGGACACCCTGTATAGTACCGACAATAATGTTTTTCCCATTAGGGTTAGCAATTTCAAGGAACAAAGACTCAATTACTTCAGGAATAGAAATTGTGCATTCTTGAATCAATTTGTATTGAAAATGATTTTGTAGATAAAGTCCAACTCCGCCACCTACTTTACTCAGGCGATGATTTGAAATGAAATTATAACCTGAAAAATTTACTAAATCAGAAGTTTCATCATTCAGCCAAGTTTCAGATACTCCGATAATAGAAAACGACTTACGCAAATTTCTGGTCAAGACTTTAAACTTATCAAAATTGACAATAAGGCTACGACAATTTAGGTGCAACAATGAAAAACCCATATCATCCATTGACTCGTCGATTAATTCGCTAATATCATTTTCAACCATATACCTACTAGTCGGCGGCAACAGAGCTTGAACATTTAAATATGGGTCAACATTTGACATTGTAAGGCAGTCCATAGCCAAAGCTGAATGTTCAATAGGATTAAATACTAGACATTCTAAGCGATCTAAATCAAAGTGTAATGGGCCATGAGATAATTCGTATATGGCCGCATTAAAAGCTACATCCTCTACTGTAGATGGCTAAATGGTAGAGGAAAAGCCTCCATATATGAGACAACATTAGCCATTAATTAATATTACAAAACAACAAAGAGAACACACAAACTTATTATCCTAATTTAACATAGTAAGGTCCTGTAGTTTGGTTAGCTTGATAATCTGTTCGTTTTCGGACTTTCGTAGGCAAACGATTTTATTCTTGACCCAGCAGAACTTAAAATTATTTGCCCGCTTATACTTGTTGGCTTCAAACAGCAGCTCTTGCAGGCGTGGGGTTAAATGTTGGTAGACCTGAAGGCTGTCTAATTTCGTGGTCGTTGGTAGATGAAGTTGCTCAGGCTGAACATTACTAGTTTGTTTTCTGGCTGCAATTACTTTTTCTTTCGCCAAACGGCGTACAAACTTACAGATAAT